CGTATAATTATCGATTATTCCAACATATTCTCTCTTTGATCCGTTTCAAAATAAATTGTAGGTACTTAATATATGAAATAATCAATAATTTTATCATATATTTTTTAGTGATATACATATACATAGTCCAGTATATTAATAAAGTATACTTGCCGTCTATGTCATATTGTCATAATAGTTTACTTTTATACGTWGGTAAGTTTAATCTTTTTCAATTATTGGGTATAGTTATGCCTATTATGTATTGAAATCAAAAAATAATGTATTTTATTTGTGCGTAATATATTATACTCGTAGACGTTATATTTTTCACGTAAAAGAACTAAAACATACGTTTATAATAAATAAATATGGAATTWAATAAACTTCATAAAGTTCAATGATATCACTCTGCCCTGTATTAATTGTGGATACCGTGTATTATACGCGTAAGTGGTGTTTAAAAAAAAATTTAAATCAAACTCCTTGATGATATTTATTATAATCTATCAGAGTTTTAATTTTCATTATTCACTAGAAATAAATTAAAAACCGCGAACGACCGTTATTATGTCATTCGCGTGCTGTGCGCAACGGTAAACACGAAACACAAAATGTCGTTCGAGAATTACCGTAATTATATTACATAGACGTGATTTTTAGTTGAATAGAATTAGTTTTGTTACCATATAATAATTRGTTTTAAATCGATCAATAAACGAAACGTTTTTGTGTTATTATGATCTRATATGAGTGATTTAATATAATTATAAACGATATTTGATAGGTAAGTTTTGTGTACGAATGAATGTGCGTCAGGTTTTGTTTAAATAAAAACTGTTGTTTCGTTACAGTCATGATTATACGAGCTTTTTGGTTGAGCATCAAAATATGTAATACGTATACGTATAGTCATTATTATAAATAACTTGAAATTACAAATTTTTTTTAAATATAACACTAACGAATAACGATACAAGATCGTTTAATACGGCACCTAGAGTATGCAATTTAACAGCGTCCGCGTCGTACGTACGACACGTAATACTGTCCACAGAATTTTGTGACGACAATTTTATTATAATTTTGTAGTTTGTACTGCAGTTATCATTATTTTATTTTAGTAATACTAACGGTAATGGTGCTATAAAAATATTTACATGTTTTATTTAAAAAAAATTAACAGATCATATTGTATATTATGATATATATCTGTGTGCGTTATATGTATAAAATAAGTTGTTCTGACTGAATAATCAACATACATCCTAATAACCTGCACAATGATAGCTAGATACTTGATTTTTTTTTTGTGCCGTATCAGAAGAGTAGGTACCAGACGCATTGAGAATTTTTTTTTTTTAAATTTGCATTTTAAAGTTGGGCCCACCCATAACTTATTTTGTTTCGGCTCACGAAAATCAAATATTTTTTTGTTTGCCTTACAAGGATGCCATTTTTTACAGTAATATTTATTTCGATTGAATATAATTTTTTTTTATTGTATTTTGTTTTATCATTTAGAATTATATAAAGCTATTGTAGGAGAGAAATCGAGTGACGGCTATACTATTTAATCGTATAGGTAAATTTACAGTTGTCGAGGTTTATATATTATAAAAATACTCTTCCGATTTTGAAAAAAAAAAATAAAAATAGTGAATAATTCAACTGAAGCATATATTATAAATTATAATGGATAGTCGGCTAATAAATATATTATAAGCCGGGTTATATCTAAATAATGCGTTCGAAAATCCTCAGATTTTGGCCAAAACTTGCCCATAATATATTACCTGAGATCCAAAGTTGGTCGCAAGAGTATTAGAATAGAAGCCGCTGGTAACAGCACCTTTTATATATAAAAGCAAAGGGTATGAACGAGGCTTTAGAATCAAAAAATACTCTTTCTATCTTATCTATTTGGACGATTCAAGGAAGATTTGAATAATAGATTGAGCCTGTTATTTTATGATGATTTAACCACTATTAATAATATTAATATAAAAACAGCATATTCCTTTATTTTTTCTTGCACACAAGTAATAAAGTTACTTACTTATTAGTGTTATTACTATCTATCGCAGGTAATGCGCATCTCGGTTTTATTTATCCCCGGGCAACGCCTGCAAGTAATACAGTTAGTACATTAATATTATATAACGTTGAATTACGTTTTTAAATGGCTAAAGAAGCGTTCACATGTGCAATAGTCATCAAACTATGTATGGTTGGCTTATTTTTTTAAATAAATATAGGTACATTRTCGGTAATAGGTATAGCTGTGTAGAGTAAARAGTTTGAGTATAMAATTTTAACGTATAACTCTATTAGCAGATAACAATGAATAGACATCCGTCTTCGATTATCATATTTTATATAGGATATGAGTGATATTACTGAACGGAGACTATATAGGTTAGAAAAATAGTGAATAAAAATAAAATGTTAGCTTAAGCGATTTGGTGTGCTAACGAGTATAATAATATATACAATATAAAATGGTGGAAACAAACAAAACGTTACTGTGTATGATACTATAATAAAATGGTAGTCGTAATAACGCATATTGTATTACATAGTTTATAAGACGACCACTGGAACGTTATGTAATAGTAATATTAAGGAGCATACTAGGCATAAATAGGTTTCGATGATGTATTGCCATAAACGCATCATATTATACTATTCCTCCCTTCTCATACGTACTATCCTGCAGGCAGCTTTTTTTGATCACAGAACTACTTAAAGGGACTATATACCAATCTTYGCACGCTCCTTAAATTTGTTGTGCACAAATTAGCTTATATAGGTTTCGTACCACGCACGATAAAAGAGAGTGTGAGTTTATACGAGTCTTCTATTGTCTTAGGACCTAAGTTAACATCATATACTCATCGATATCCGGTATAGTGTCGTCTTTACAACACCTATCCAAACTTCCGATACCCCAACGATTATAACGGAGRACGCTAAGAAGGCTTCTCGTACATATCGKACACTCTAACTATACAAATCGAAAATCMACCTTTGACACAATATGTAAAAACGAGGTCGGTGTGTCTGATGCCACCAGCAAAACATCACCACTAAAACCACCACCGCCACCTCTAAAATTYCTCGTACATCAGTCCCATGAGTTTGTCCCACGCAATGGTTTGCTGGAAATATCRYGTAATAATTGTAACTGGTGAATTCGAAGCGAGTGCACCATCGGAGACACTGGAGGCGGCGGCGGCCGGCACCTCCGAGACACATGGCAACGGCGTGAAATATCTCTGCGAGATGGTTTTTTTCGCGCAGCATTCTCTGCGCGAGAGAGATGGTGGCTTATTGGTGGATGGATGGATGGATGGATGGACGATTGTGGGAGCTGCTCGTGTGGGGCGAGAGGGTGGCACGGACGACGGCGAACGGATTACGGCGGGTGGGTGCGGAGGGCGTGCGGAACGGCAACCGCGCCTGGCGCCTGGACGCCCGACGGATCCATAGGACCGCCGCCCCCCACCATTCCGCCGCGCCGTTACGCCGAAACCCTCCTGGCCGACCGTCGCACGGCGGTGGCCGCGCACGCGCGTCCCAGAATAGAACTTTACGCTACAAGCCCGCGCCGCCGCCGCTGACACGGCCGCCGGCCCGAAACGCCGCCTGAGAGGAGTTCAGCTGCTGCCGCCGTGAGCCGCGGGACCCGCGTTATAGTAACCGCTCTAACGCACCGGACAGATTTTTCTGTCTTTATTTTAAGAGCATCACCAGAGTCGGTTTTTCTTTTTCCTTTTTCTCCCGTTTTTATTCCTTCTGTCGCGTGTCTCCTCGGCAAACTCTCCACCTGCCTTCTCCCTCCCCCACGTCCCGTTCCCGGAAGAAACTTACCGATCGTCCTACCACTGCTGCACATAAGCGTTCGGTCTGACTTCTTTATTATTATTTTAATTTTTGTTATAATTACTATTAAATTTGTTTGTTCGCGATTTGTTAAGTGTTATTCAATCTATCGTCATCGTTGATCTGATTATATCATATTATAATAATTAGAAAATTTTATAAGTGCGACTCTGCGGTCACCAGGATTACAACATTTGTGTGATTTGGATACCAAACTTGGTGAGTAGCGCCGTCGTACAGCCGAATAATATAATTTTCGTCTACCACCGTTGTGTAACTGTAATGCTAAAATGATTCATAGACGTATTGATCATGTAACACATTTGTTTATGCGTTGTTTTGTTTTCATCATAAATTTTCGTCGTATAAAGATTTAACGATGTTTTATTTTTCAATTATTTTTATCTAACCTTAAAGTCGACATTTTTTTTCTTTTCACTTCTGTATATTTGGCGATTATTGTCAAACTTGACGTGTGTGTGAAAACGGTGTGCTGTTATCGAACGGTGAGCGCGCTGGTGGCTGAACGGGTGGCAAAATAGGTCGTGACGGCGGCGAACGGGGGCTTGGCGCACGGGTGGGTGAAGAAGGGACGCACGGAACCGTGTGCGGGTAGGCGCGGGGGTAAATGTGGCGTGTGGGTCCGCACTGCGGCTGAGCCAACTATTCGTCTTAACCTAAAATATGGTTAACGTAATATTTCCAGTCAAACGGTTGGACTCGTTTCTGTTAATTGTTTTTATTAGTCTATGATTTTATTAGTTAGACCATTCCGGGTGGAACTTTTCGGTTCAGACATTCGTGGTTAAAATTAAATAACGAAACAAGCACTCAAGACGATTTTTTGATTTGAATAAATCAAATTCGTTAACGTGAGGTCAGGGTCATTCGGTCACCAAACAGCTCTTCCAGTTACTACAATCATAGTAAAGTCATGGCTTATCAAACAACATAATCCAATTTAGAATTCATCGTAATTGAATTCATTCGTTATTTAGAATCTGGAAGTTTCTGATGATTTTTTATTTACATAAAAACATACTCCATATTGCAGAATAGATGAAAATCTTTAACGTTTAAAATAMAATTTATATTATTTAAGCACTGATAAAAACGAGCATAGAATTTTACACATAGAATTTTATTAAAACTTTTGATTTTAAATATTAATTAAATATCAAAAAATTATGCTGGACTTATAGCAAACTGCATTAAAAAATGAACGAATGCCAACAACAAAATGTAGTTGTAACTAGAAAAAAATTAATTTTCAGCATATAGTATTAAGTTAGGTACCATATGTTATAAATTATGTTGTTATTTAAACTTTATCTTATGATCAAATATTTCTCTAATTGCTATAATGCTTCGTATTTATTTCAGTATAATATATAATGAAAATATACGTATAGCAGATTCTTAATGATTTTTTAACTGAAAATATACAAAAAACAATTTTCGTTTGTTTCTAAATGCCCTTCTATAGTGTACCTATTAATTTRAATAAAACTAAACATAATTAAATTGATAGTAATTTCTTTTGAAATTCAAATTACTAAGAATGTRTAATATAATAATTTATTTTCTGTAAAAATTACATTTAACAATTTGTATGGTTCTTAAAAGAGTTCATAAAGAAAATCATTGKTAGTTCTATCTGTAATAGATAGTACAAATTTAGGCACAGAATTATGTGATAAGCAAATAAAAGTTTTTATTTCTTTATATAATATAAACAGATATATTTGAGTAAACTAAGGAATAATCTTAATTAAAACTTAAAACATTTATTTCGAAGTTATTGATTGAAATAAAATAATATTAAATATTAATTTATCAGATTTAGTCATATTTTCTTGTATTATTGAATAAACATAATAACTTCTACATATTTTACCTTTATAATGGACAAATAAATACATTATACTATTAGCAACAGTAATTTAATTTAATTTTACTTATTGGACGTTATATTTGAGTAAGGAATGTATCAAATATATGTTTCGGGCATTACATTTATAACACTATACTATACACACACATTAAAATATTATAGTAGCTATTAATTGAAACATATTGTAGTGATTGAATACAACTATCAAACAACTTTGGGTAAAAAAAATGTAGAAAATAATTTTGGCACGATTATCGTATTTAAATTGCGCGTTTCTGGATTACCGTCAAAGGTATTTAAATATAAATTAGGGGAAAAACTCGAACATCATTTCAATGTTAGCAATAGTATAATTCTTATTAATTAACTTGCAATTCAATGAGCTAAAATTTATTGCTGTTTTATTTTACTTTTTGTTTTGTTTTTTTTTTTTGGGGCAGAAAATCACCATGCGGGACAAGACGTCTTGATCCACGCTGATCCAGAATAACAACAGCACACACACATACACACTTCAGAAAATTGGAGTCACACTTTATTCTAAGTCTGTGATATTATTTAATATTTTGAAAAATGAACCTCTTAGCCGTAATCGATTTCCTCGATCACAGAATAGAGATAGAATCGCCTATTTGTAATCAAATGAAAAGATCGTTATAATTAGTATTATAAGTTGTTGACGTAAATTCGTTATTCCAATTAGTTAGTGTATTTATATATTTTGTAAAAATAATATTAATAATAATAACCATGAATTCCTATAAATATTTTTAAAACCATAAACAGTTTTTAATTGTATTTTTACAACAAAAAGTCCCTTATATTCTGTCCAAAATGGGTTCCAAAGAGGCGGAAAGCGGTACCGCCAAAACCGCCAAAATGAGCGATCTCAAAAAAGAAATCGACTTGGATGATCACAGGATACCATTGCCGGAGCTATACACTCGTTACGAGACGGATCCTGAGAGAGGTTTGACGACTTCCCAAGCTAAAAGATTATTACTTAGGGACGGACCTAATTCTTTAACCCCACCTAAGAGGACTCCTGCGTGGATTATCCTGTTGAAGCACCTGTTTGAAGGATTTTCAATTCTATTATGGGCAGGTGCGGCTCTGTGCTTCCTAGCATATGGTATTCAATATTCCACATCTGAAGAACCACAGGAAGACAACCTATGGCTGGGTACAGTATTAGTCCTTGTTTGTGTTATAACAGGCGTTTTTGCTTACAGTCAAGAAGCAAAAAGTTCGAGAATCATGGATTCCTTCAAGAACATGGTACCACAATACGCCAACGTTGTGCGAGACGGTGAACGGAAAAACATACTGAGCTCAGAACTGGTAAAAGGAGACATTGTGGAAGTAAAGTTTGGTGATCGCGTTCCCGCTGATGTTCGTATTATCGAAGCCCATAATTTTAAGGTAGATAATTCATCTTTGACCGGAGAAACTGAACCACAACCTCGGGACTCAGCTGTATCTAAAGTGCAAGTATTGGAAGCTAACAATTTAGCATTCTTTTCCACTAATGCGGTTGAAGGAACTGCAAAAGCCCTTGTGATACTCTGTGGTGATAATACTGTAATGGGACGTATTGCTGGACTGACTACAAGACTGGAGCAAAGAGATACACCAATCGCTAATGAAATTCATCATTTTATGCATTTGATTTCTGCTTGGGCAATTTTCCTAGGGGTGTCATTTTTCATAATGGCTTTCTTACTTGGATACCATTGGTTGGATGCTTTTATATTCTTGATTGGAATAATTGTCGCTAACGTACCAGAAGGTCTTCTGGCTACCGTGACCGTGTGTTTGTCTTTGACGGCGAAACGGATGGCATCGAAAAACTGTGTCGTAAAACATCTCGAAGCAGTCGAAACTCTCGGATCTACATCTACTATCTGCTCTGACAAAACGGGAACGCTAACCCAAAACCGTATGACTGTAACACATTTAAGTTATAATAAAGAAATTATTGAGGTGGATTATTTCAAAGACCCGACAGGTGTAACGGAAGAGGCTAGGAACACCAAAGCTTATCAGTCGCTCGTTAGAGGTGGATGTCTTTGCAGTAGAGCTGAATTTATATGTGGACAAGACAATACACCAGTTTTAAAGAGAGAAGTCATGGGTGACGCATCCGAAGCCGCTATAATTAAATTTTCTGAGCTTGCAGTTGGGGATGTTATGGCTTTCCGTGAACAACATAAAAAGGTGGCAGAGATTCCGTTTAATTCCTCCGATAAATTCCAAGTTTCGATTCACGCATTACCGTCGAAAGGACAATTGTTAGTAATGAAAGGGGCACCAGAAAGAATTTTAGCTCGTTGTACTAGAATGCGATATGGCGATGGTGTTGTTGAATTGGACGAAAATATCAGACAAGAAATGGACGAAATTATCGAACAACTAGGAAGTTACGGTGAACGTGTTCTCGGATTTTGTGATCTTTTTCTAAGTACAGACCAATTTCCAATTGGCTTCAATTTTACCACGGATCCTCCTAATTTTCCTTTGACCGATTTAAGGTTTTTAGGTCTTATGTCCATGATTGACCCTCCTAGACCAGGTGTACCAGATGCCGTCGCAAAATGTCGATCAGCTGGCATTCGTGTTATCATGGTAACCGGCGATCACCCCGTAACTGCTAAAGCTATTGCAAAGGCTGTAGGAATCATTACTGAAGGTTCTGAAACTCTTGAAGATATTGCTAAACGACGTCGAGTACCAGTATCATCTTTAGATCCACGGGAATCCACAACAATCGTTATACAAGGATCATTATTAAGGGACATGTCGACCGAAGAATTGGAACACGTTTTACGAACTAACAGAGAAATCGTATTTGCCCGGACTTCCCCTACACAAAAATTAAACATTGTTGAAGGATGTCAAAATTTGGGAGCTATTGTGGCTGTAACTGGAGATGGTGTTAACGATTCACCGGCTTTGAAAAAGGCAGATATTGGTATTGCTATGGGCATAACGGGTTCAGACGTATCCAAACAAACTGCTGACATGATATTATTGGACGATAATTTTGCATCGATTGTGACTGGAGTAGAAGAAGGGCGTCTTATTTTTGACAACTTAAAAAAATCAATAGCGTACACTTTGGCGTCAAACGTCCCGGAGATAACTCCGTTCTTACTATTTATTCTTAGTGGTATTCCATTGCCACTGGGAGTTGTTGCCGTGCTTTGCATTGATTTAGGAACTGACATGTGGCCGGCCATATCATTGGCTTACGAAAGAGCGGAATCTGACATTATGTTAAGACATCCCAGGAACCCATCGACTGACAAATTGGTCAACGGTAAACTCATCTTCGTCGCATATGGTCAAATCGGAGTTATTGAAGCCGTCGCTGGATTTTTCTCGTACTTCGTCATTATGGCTCAATGCGGATGGCTACCACGGAGATTAATTGGCATACGTAACGAATGGGATTCAAAGTCTGTGAACGACTTGGAAGACTCATACGGTCAAGAATGGACATTTACACATAGAAAAGAGCTAGAATATACCTGCCATACTGCCTTTTTCATAGCTATTGTAGTAGTTCAATGGGCTGATTTGATTATTTGCAAAACTCGTTACAATTCTATTTGTCATCAAGGTATGGACAATTGGGTTTTGAATTTTGGAATGGTATTCGAAACATTAGCTGCCTGTTTTGTATCTTATTGTCCTGGTATGACCGAGGTGCTCAAGACCTATCCYGTAAAAGCCGAATGGTGGCTTCCTGGTTTACCTTTCGCCGTAGTCATATTTGTTTATGACGAATGTCGGCGTTTTTGGCTCAGGACTCATCCAGGTGGATGGGTCGAACGACACACTTACTATTAAAATATTTTAAAGTATTTACAATAAAATAAAATAATAATCACTCATTGCGTCAATGCCCCTGTATAAAAAAAAATTCAATTAATTAAAAACATTTTTACGTATTATGAATGCGTAAAAACCTCATTATTAAAAATTAAAAATGTATAGCTGTTATTGTTATTGATAGTTTTATTAGTTATTTATAAATGCGAATTTTTTGAAAATTTAGATTAAAGATCGGTAAAATTAAACGCTAAATTAAAAATGTCACCCCAAACTAAAAATGAAACCAATTTGTAATAATAATTATTATAATAAAAATGAGTGTTCATTTACCATAGGCCTAGACTATTAAATATTATGTAAGTAAAAAAAAAATCGTTGACAATGCATAGTGTTGGATTAGATATTCATAAATGTTTTGTTATATATTATAATAATATATATAGTACAAGGCTGATCAAAAGTCTTAACTGAAAAAAATCATCTTAATTACAAACTTTTGATCTTCCGCGTCTCTACATATTGTAATCCGGGCTGGTTTACGTGCAATTATGCTTAGAGGCTGAGCCATTATATATGTGTATACATTTTAAACAAATTGCCTGTAGAAAATTCAATGTATAGTATTTTGTTTGGAGTAAAAAACTGAAAAAAATTAAAAAAAAATTTAAATAGTTATTGCATTTTTAGTTTTGTTATGAGTTAAAAAAAAATATTATCAATAAAGTGTAAGTGTTATGCGTATAATTAAACTAGGGCAAGGATTGAAAGATAAATTACAAAACCAAAATCTCGTTCTCAGCACTAATAGCTGGTACCTTTAAAAATAAAATTGCCATCCTAAATAGTAGTTTATGTCTATATAATATATTATAAAATATACATACGTACTTATTTGTTCGGCGTTTTCATCAGATTGTACACATTTTCAATAGATACATATTATATTATACAGCTTATTATTATTGTATTGGATATTATAAGTTAGACAATTGTTTGTTTTTTTTTACATTTTTTTCTGTAAGTTGTGCCTTATTGATTTCGTTTATATTTTGTTTCTCGGCTAAATATGTATGATTTGTATTACTTTTTTTGTTCTTTTTCTTGTTTTTAATACTATTTACGACTATACGGTAATTACGATTATACGATATTATAATACGCGCTATTCGTTTTTATCTTATTGTAGACAAAGCTTTTTCTAGTTGATTTCACAAAGGCAACCATAACTTATCTTTAAGAATAAATAAAAAAAATCGTATACTTGTCATTTGAACTATAGCTTACCACCTACTAAAAAAACATTATTATTATGTTTATAGTATAATATATAAAATGAAAAAAAAATAATAATATTTTTAAGCAGTTTTTTTTTACATATATATTATATAATTAGTGCAGACGTAGGACGAAAAATATTGTTGAATAGAAGGTTTAAAAATTGTAATTCTGTACGCTTTTAATATCCATTAAAATATATATTGTAAAGCTACAAAACTTAACCATATATATATTATTATTATTATACATAGTGATTTTTTTTTTTTTTAATGAAACAAACCATTGTAAAACTTCGGGTATTTAGTTACTATGTAATGTTATATTATTGTTCGGCTATCTCGTGCTGTACGTGCATAAGACAAAACACGCAAAAAAATTAAAATCATATTTCAGAGATTTAATGGTAATGTATGTTCCGAATAAAAGTCCTGTATACAAAGACATTTAAATTGGACTTTTATTTTATCCATCACGTAACACCGACTTTCTCATCGTCATAATCATCATTACGTTCACCTCACAATATTATTATCATCCTGAACCTTTATATGAACGTTCCTACGATAATGAAATTATATATATTATTATATTCTTTGTCTCGCTGGTTACGAATTTTGAAATTCGTCTTGCGAAAAAGAAAACACGAACTGAGTATAATATAAGTATTATAAAAAAATTCTTTCAGACGTCCTAATACCATAATAATAATATAATATATTGACATAATATATTATGTAGGTAGGTATATCATAATATAGTTGCTATATTATACTGCAACAGTCATACGACGCAACAAAATATTATTATTATCATCATCGAAACCGATGTCGGCGGAGCCGATTAAATAATAAAAAAAAAAAACGTCGTGGCGTTATGAATAAAATTGTATTAGCATCCGGCGACGTGCATACTGCATATGTATTATAATAAAATCACGTTTGTATCGCCCAAAGCCGTTATTAATGGTCGGCGTGGTTGTGGTGTGTACGCGGGAGAACTGAGAAGTGGTTTTCTCGAAACGAAGGTGAATACATTATAATAATACGCCAGTTATTTTATTATTATTATTATTATTATTATTACTATTACTACTATTACTATTATTATTATTATTATTATTATTATTTTTTCTCGTGTCCGTACCTGCGTCGTTCACAATCATTCGCGATCGAAAGGTCTACAAACCGCACGTACAACATGGACGTAAGACTCGTCGCCATTATTTTGTGCCACAGTAAGTAGCGTAATGAATCAATTAAATCATATTACAAACTATCATAACTATAATATATTATATACCTACCCWTTAAACATATAAATCCGCTTATTTTGATCTTATTTCAACGCACAGTATACCTATGCATCATGTTACGATTACGCCGTGCACGTATTTACCTATTTTATGTATTTAACGATAAAATATTTTTTTATTCTTTTTAAATGTATAACAAATAAAAAGAAAGTATGTATCGTTTAATATCGTACACGTTCGTTTGCTCAACGTTCAACGCATGTCCGTTTTTAATAATAATATAATAAATATAATAATATAATAAATGTACGAAGCTGTTGGTTTTGTTTTCATGATAATATTACGTGTAGGTACGTTTTATACACACAATACATAGTATAATATTATATTATATTTGAATATGATATGCAGTTAGCTGCGTTATTCGAAATCGACACCGTAAATCGATTTTATACATATTTTACCTATACATATAATATTTGTAGGCGCATATTACTACGTGATTTTACGTTTTTTTTTTACATATTTATATACTTTTGGTGTAGTGCTTCGTCAATATTAACATCGCAATCTAATTTTTAACGTATTATATTATGATGTTTGTATATAGGTACCAAAAGSGTGAAAATGTTGGTATAATATTTATAGGATAATCGTTTACCTTCGAACACATACATGCGCGTATATTATGAATTATGATATTTTATAAAATATTATATAAGGTGCCGACGTATTATTATTATAAAACGCTATACTGATTCTATTTTGTCGGGGTTATTTTTTTTTTTCATGTAATAATTTACATGTACCTACATTTTATTCAGAAATTATCGAATAATAAAGACGGAATAAAAAAAGCAGTATCCCATTCCTTCTTGTGGCGAACCGGCAATACACATATAACATAATATTATATTTATATAATATTTTATTGTACGTACAAACAGCATTCACTCGAACTCGTGAACGAACGCGCTCGAATTCGTGACTGGTACCCGGCAACGATTTACAACAGTACGACTTGACCTTGGATTTACCCCTAAAGAAATACGTTCGAAACAAATCAACTTGGATACGTGCGTACAAAAAAAAAAAAAAAAAAAAAATGGCAAACAATAAGAGTAATAGAGGTTCTTAGAGCTAAGGATTTTCCCCGTAGTATAGGAATTTGAGATTCAATATTCTCTAATGGATGCGGTGGGGGTAGAGTTTTTTTTGTAAAAATAAAACATTATTTATACATTTTTGTTATCTATATCCAATTTTGAATTTATTGCTCTATTTAAATATTCATTTCCTGTCAACTGGTATGTCCTATACTTTCCAGCATCTATATTTTTTTTTTGTGTTTTCTACTTTTCTCTTGGTGACAGCGCAAATGAGGGAGGATCATAGAATTTAACGTTATTCTTCKTCGGCTTTTTTAATTGTACGATACTATGGTTTATTCACGCCCATTTCATGATATTTTTGTGCGTATAATATAACGATGACGAGCGTGTATTTTCGCCTCTAAACTTTTTACTTCTCTATTAGAGTTTCGCTGGATTCCGTCCAATTATTAATACGCGACGTGGCTGTGGAATTCGGGAGATCGCCGTGAATTCCTAGCGGTCTGCGCCGAATGGCGTGGTGATTAAAAATACGTCTCTAGACTCGAACCCTCCCCCACTTTTTGTGTTTTTTTTTGTAAGTGTTAGTATAGCATAATAGTGTTTCGTTCTGGAAAAATATAGAATTCCGTTTGATAGGKCTAACGGCAAACCAGCGGCAGGCGGTTTTTCAGAACAGAGAAATGCCGAGCTGCAGGTGGGCGTATTTTCGGACATTTGTGGTGGCGTAAGATCGCCCAATATATATATACCAACCGTATAATATACGTATAGTATACACTTTATAATTAATGTGGTGTATATACGTAAGAGGCTTAGACGAAAGAACCAACAACAATATTTCCCTTTTGTCCCTTTTGTTCTCGACCTCTTTCTGCAAATATACCGAGACATACCTATAGTCCCCCGCTGCTGTGAACGTACATAATATATAATAAGGTTTTGTGTACTCTTTCCCACGTGACAATAACATACCTATAGCTAGTAATACGCACATCTATATAATATATTATATAAATGCGGTAACAGATAAGCACCCATTACAACACCTACAAAACAACCGCCTAAAAGCTTTTTCGTAACACAATATGTTATCCACGTCCCGCGGTACTATATATACGAGTATTATACCTATCTATATATCCCGTTGTTGTGTGATGTGTACACACACATCTCCCACGCACTCGTTTAATGTGATARATAATAAATGGTAGATCATCGTGTGTGCGGACGTCCTATATGATGACGATGATGATAATAATAAACGAATCGTTTCCGCAGTCGCTCTATTGAGCGGCCAGTCCACCGGTGGCAGGAAACGGCCGGCAACCACAACCGCGGCGGCGCCCCGTCATCGGCCGACCGCCGTTGAGGACGAAGAATCGGCCGATCAGCAGGAGAACGAGTGTCCGGAGCCGAACGGTTTCTTCGCGGAYGC